TAATCATAATAATATATATATAAAATATAAAATATATTTATATTATAATATAATATAATAATAAAATAAAATATAATATATAATATATATTAAAATAATATAATATAATAATAATATAAAATATTATATTATATATTATAATATAATATAATAATATAAATATAATAAAATATAATATATATTATAATATATAATATAATCATAATAATATAATATAAAATATAAAACATAATATTATATATTATAATATAATCATAATAATATAAAATAAAATATAATATATAATATAATATATATTATAATATAATATAATCATAATAATATAATATATTATATATTATAATATAATCATAATAATATAATATAAAATATATAATATAAAATATATTATAATATAATCATAATAATATAGAATAAAATTATAACTATTATTTTATATTGTATGATTATTTTAATATTGTTTATTTTCAATATATCACCAGCGTCATTATCATAACTATTATTTTTATATTGTGTGATTGCATTATTATCATATTATATTAATACTCTTTTCACTAAATAGTCCCATTATATTATATATTATTTATTATTATCATGATATTACTGTATTATACTGTTTTAAAATAGTATTATTATATATAATATATAATATATATAATATAATATAAAATATAAAACATAATATTATATATTATATATCATAATAATATAAAATAAAATATAATATATATATAATATATATTATAATATAATATAATCATAATAATATAATATAAATATATAATATATAATATAATAATATAATTATAAATATATAATATAATATATATAAATATACATAATATATAATATAATAATATAATATATAATATATAATATAATAATAATATAATATAAAATATAAAACATAATATTATATATTATAATATAATCATAATAATATAAAATAAAATATAATATATAATATAATATATATTATAATATAATATAATCATAATAATATAATATATTATATATTATAATATAATCATAATAATATAATATAAAATATATAATATAAAATATATTATAATATAATCATAATAATATAGAATAAAATTATAACTATTATTTTATATTGTATGATTATTTTAATATTGTTTATTTTCAATATATCACCAGCGTCATTATCATAACTATTATTTTTATATTGTGTGATTGCATTATTATCATATTATATTAATACTCTTTTCACTAAATAGTCCCATTATATTATATATTATTTATTATTATCATGATATTACTGTATTATACTGTTTTAAAATAGTATTATTATATTATATAGTATTTTGTACTATTTATTGTTGTCATATTATATTATACAAATAGTATTATGATATATTATATATTATTATAATGATATAATTATACTATTTTAAATAGTATTATGATATTATATAATATTTTATACTATTTGTATTTGTCATATTATATTATACAAATAGTATTATATTATATATTATTATAACGATATAATTATACTATTTTAAAATAGTATTATTATATTATATAGTGTTTTGTACTATTTATTTTTATCATATAATATTATACAAATAGTATTATGATATATTATATATTATTATAATGATATAATAATAATAAATAACCCTTATTAAAATATATTTATTGTTGTCGTATCATTATTATATTTTATTATTATAGTTTATTATTATTATTATACATGTATTATTGTTATAATTATTATTATATATTATTTATTATTATCATGATATTACTGTATTATACTGTTTTAAAATAGTATTATTATATTATATAGTATTTTGTACTATTTATTGTTGTCATATTATATTATACAAATAGTATTATGATATATTATATATTATTATAATGATATAATTATACTATTTTAAATAGTATTATGATATTATATAATATTTTTATCTATTATTATATATTATTGTATTATGTAAAACAATATTATATATATTATAATGATATAGTGATATATAAGAATATATAATATAATATAATAACATTTTCTAATATTATATTGTATTATAATATTATTTATATTATTTCACATATTGTATTGCTATTTTACACATTATTTTATATATTATTATATTATATAATATTTATATATTATTTTATATATATATAATATTGTATTATTATTAATATTTTATATATTATGTGATATTTATTTTAAAATAGTATTATTATATTATATAGTATTTTGTACTATTTATTGTTGTCATATTATATTATACAAATAGTATTATGATATATTATATATTATTATAATGATATAATTATACTATTTTAAATAGTATTATGATATTATATAATATTTTATACTATTTATTATTATCATATTATATTATACAAATAGTATTATATTATATATTATTATAATGATATAATTATACTATATAATAATAGTAATATTATATAGTATTTTGTACTATTTATTGTTGTCATATTATATTATACAAATAGTATTATGATATATTATATATTATTATAATGATATAATTATACTATTTTAAATAGTATTATGATATTATATAATATTTTATACTATTTATTATTATCATATTATATTATACAAATAGTATTATATTATATATTATTATAACGATATAATTATACTATTTTATATATATAGTATATTATTATATTATATACTTGTGGTCAGCAAGTTCTTACAAATAGTATTGTATATTTATACATTATATTATACGAGGATTTTTAAAATAGGTAGTCTTACTAATTTTGGGGTGCTATTTTAAAAATAGTATGTATTGGCATAGTATGATAGGATACTATGTAGAGATTATCGATGCAGAGGTACTATGTTAATAAATAGTATTATAGCTAGAGATTTATTTATATGATAGGATATGTATAGGTATTAGACAAGGGGAAGCAAAGAGTAGGAGAGTGATACAGTAGATGATACGATGTTGGTGAGCATAGGATGGAGGTGACGATGGTGAGAAAGAGGCAGTAGGGTATGAGGATATGATACTATTACGATTATCTTAGGAGATGTACTGATGTAATAAAGAGGAGTATTAATTAGAAAGTCTAGGATACTATTTATGAAATATGATTAGACTTTTTAAAATACAATAGGAGTATATTATGTATATTATATTATTATATATTATTATATTATTATTATTTATTATAATATATGTTATTATATTATATTATATTATTATAAAATATATTATATACTATTTATTATTATATTATATTATATTATTTTAATAAATAGTATTATTATATTATACATTATTATATCATTATATTGTACTATTTTAACAAATACTATTATCTTATATATTATTATATTATACTATTTTTATTAAATAGTATTATTATATTATACAATTTATTATTATCATGATATTATTATTGTTGTGAAAAGAGTAGGAAAGGGTTATGGAAGAGGCAAATTCCGCACCAATGGAGAGAGTCAGGAACACTGGGGTGTCTGTGGCTCAATGCCATGGACTCTGTTGAGGGATAATAACAATAATAATAATAATAATAATAATAATAATAATAAATAATAATAATAATAATACAACCCAGCATGAAGGTTATGGAAGAGGCAGTGGTCGGGATCATGCAAATTCCGCACCAATGGAGAGGGAAAGAACACTGGGGTGTCTGGTTCAATGCTATGGACTCTCTGTTAAGAGAATACTACTACTAAAATAATAATAATAATAATAATAATAATAATAATAATACAACCAGCATAAAGATTATGACAGCGGGTGGGATCATGCAAATTCCACACCAATGTAGAGAGTCAGGAATACTGGGGTGTCTGTGGCTCAATGCTATGGACTCTGTTGAGGGATAATAATAATAATAGTAATACTATTACTACTACTACTACTACTACTACTACTACTAATAATAATAATAATACAACCCAGCATGGAGGTTAGGGAAGAGGCAGTGGGTGGGATCATGCAAATTCTGCATCAATGGAGAGGGAAGGGACACTGGGATGTCTGTGGCTCAATGCTATGGACTCTCTATTAAGGGATGATGATAGGGATGATGATGATGATGATAATCAAGCCAGCATAAAGTTTATGGCTGTGGGCGGGATCATGCAAATTCCACACCAGTGGAGAGAGTCAGGAACACTGGGGTGTCTGTGGCTCAATGCTATTATCCGTTAAGGGATAATAATAATAATAATAATAATTATTATTATTATTATTATTATTATTATTATTATTATTATTATACAATCCAGCATGAAGGTTATGGAAGTGGCAGTGGGTGGGATCATGCAAACTCCACACCAGTGGAGAGAGTTAAGAACACTGGGGTGTCTGTAGCTCAATGCTATGGACTCTCTGTTAAGGGATAATAATAATAATAATAATAATAATAATAATAATAATAATAATAATAATAATACAAACCAACATAAAGATTATAGCAGTGGGCGGGATCTTGCAAATTCCACACCAATGGAGAGAGTCAGGAACATTGGGGTGTCTGTGGCTTAATGCTATGGACTGTCTGTTAAAGGATGATAGTAGTAATAATAATAATAATGATAATAATAATACAACCCAGCATGAAGGTTATGGAAGAGGCAGTGGGTGGGATCATGCAAATTCCGCACCAATGGAGAGGGAAAGAACACTGGGATATCTGGTTCAATGATATGGACTCTCCGTTAAGGGATAATAACAATAATAATAATAATAATACAACCCAGCATGAAGGTTATGGAAGAGGCAGTGGTCGGGATCATGCAAATTCCGCACCAATGGAGAGGGAAAGAACACTGGGGTGTCTGGTTCAATGCTATGGACTCTCTGTTAAGAGAATACTACTACTACTAATAATAGTAATACAACCCAGCATGAAAGGAGTGCTGAGACTCATGGGATCTGTAGTTGGGGGGGGGGTTCCCTACTAGCCCTTGTGCAACTACAACTTCCATCATCCCTTGGAAGCCCTTAGAAGTGGTGCCAGAACCGGATGCTCGTGTTCTGCGGGTGACTCATGGCTCCAAAACAAGGCGGCACCTGCCTATCCGAATCCCTAGACAGCATAACAACACCCAGACGAGCCTCCTGTTGTGAAGCCTTAATGGGATTAATTAACGGTTTTGGTCATCTCCTTCTCTTCCCAGGTCCGGCCCTACAGCCCTTCCTTCTTTGGGGAAACCGAGGCACGGAAAGAACAGAAAGGACGGGGCAATGGAGGCGGCGAGAGTCCCCCGGACCACCGAACTGGAATTTGGGGGCACTTGGGGTGAGCCCAGACCCATATTCTGGCAGTCAAGACACCATACGATCCCTCCCAACAGATGGCCAGCCTGTCTCCTGTGTGACTCTTGTAATTGGCCACCTTGATTACTAATAAATGGCCTTGCAGCTTCAAAGCCTGTCTCTTTCCTGCCTGGGGGGGGGAATCATTGGTTGGAAGGTGTTAGCTGGCCTGGATTGTTTCCTTGCTGGAATTCCCATTTTTTAAGTGTTGCTCCAGGCAGGAACCGATCAAGGCCAGCTGACACCTTCCAACAAAGGATTCCTCCAGGCAGAAAGCAGCCAGGCTTTGAAGCTGCAAGGCCATTCAGTGCTAATCAAGGTGGCTAATGGCAACACTCACATTTGCCTCAAAATAACAAGAGTTTCTCTTACTCCCACCCTGGACACTTACAATTACTATTTAAATATTATCCATTATTATTATTATTATTATTATTATTATTATTATTATTATTCACAGCTGAGGCCACCCGGTCCAACCCTCTTCTACAATTACTATTATATTTTTCCTGCATTATTATTATATCTATTGTTTATTATCATCATCATCATCATCATCATCTCTATTAATTATATAATTATATCTATTATATATATAATATATCTATTATTTTATCTATTATATTATTTTTATAGTATTATCATTAGCATTATCAGTATTTTATCTATCTATCTATCTATCTATTATCCATTATTACTATTATTGTAATCAATTGATATAACATATTATATCAATTGATAACAATAATAATTATATTATAAATTATTAAGAAATATAATTATGTAATCATAATTATAATCAACATGATAAAAATAATATCTATATTATCTCTGTCATTTTATCTATCTATTATATTATCCATCATTACCATTATTCTTATATATTATTATTTTATCAACCTATTATCCATTATTATTATTATTATTAATTGATATAATACTGTTATACCTATCATATCTGTTATCTCTATTATTTTATCTATTATCTATTATTATAATATTATCCATCATTACCATTATTCTTATATATTATTATATTATTTTATCTACCTGTTATCCATTATTATTATTACTATTATTGTTATCACTTGATATAATATTATCTATTATTTTATCTATTATCTATCTATTATAATATTATCCATCATTACCATTATTCTTATATATTATTATTATTTTATCAACCTATTATCCATTATTATTATTATTATTATTATTATTATTATTATCAATTGATATAATACTGTTATACCTAAAATATCTATATTATCTCTATTATTTTATCTATTATCTATCTATTATTATATTATCCATCACTACCATTATTCTCATATATTATTATTATTTTATGTACCTATTATCGATTATCATTATTATTATTGTTATCGATATAACTGTTATATCTATAATATATATATATATATTATCTCTATTATTTTATCTATTATCTATCTATTATTATAATAATATCCATCATTACTATTATCATTATATATTATTATTTTATCTGCCTATCTGTTATCCATATAT